TGCAAAAAATAATTTTCCATGAAATGGAAAAGAAAAAAAAGCTGCAGTAGCAACACTCATATCCGACAAAATAAACTTTAAAATGAAGGCCATCACAAGAGACAACAAAGATCACTACATAATACTAAAGGGATCAATCCAACAAGAGGCTATAACCCTAGTAAACATATATGCACCCAATATAGGAGCATCTACTAGTAAATGTATAAAAAAAACTTCTAAAGGACTTTAACAATACAGTTATAGTAGAGGACTTTAACACCCCTCTAACTTCACTGGACAGATCTACCCGACAAAAACTTAATAAGAAAACAGTGACTCTAAAGGACACACTGGATCAGATGGGTTTAATAGACATTTATAGAACATTTCACCCAACACAACAGATTACACATCCTTCTCAAGTGCACATGGATCATTCACAAAGATAGACCACATGTTAGGACACGAAACAAGTCTCTACAATGCAAGTTCGATGGAAATCCTATCAAGCATCTTCTCAGATCACAGTGGAATGAAATTAGTAATCAACTACAGTAAAAATTCCCTAAAACATTCCAACATATGGAGGGTAAGTAGCATGTTATTAACTAGAGGCCCACCGTGTGAAATTGCGAGAGACCCAGACCCGGTGCCTCTGGGTCCCAGCGTCAAGTCCCCGCCCACCTGTGCACACCTCGGCTGCACACGCAGCCCCGCCCACCCACGTGTGCCGCGCCCACCATGAAGACAGTTGTGGATGGCGATGAGACTAGTTTCCTGCCCTCACCTTTCCTTCTCAGGAGCACTTACATTGACCTTCGTTGGAAGATGAGATCTGAACGGAGCAACACTTGTTCCCATGAAGAAATCATATGACATTCAGCAGGTGCCTTTTGGCATTTGGTCGTTACGGCGTGATGGTGGCACGGCCATGGGATTTTTATAATAGTGGTGAATGGGTTACCAATGAGATCAAGAGAGAAATAAAAACCTCCCTGGAAACAAACGAAAATGAACACACAACCACCCAAAATATCTGGGACATAGCAAAAGCAGTCCCAAGAGGCCTGCCTCAAAAACAAGAAAAAATAATACAGTGGGACCTTGACTTAAGAGTTTAATTCATTCCGTGACAGAGCTCGTAACTCAAATTACTCGTAGGTCAAATCTTAAAGTGAACGAGTGAGACACGTGATGCTGGGCTGATGTGGCGTTCACCATGACGTTCGCTGCGCCAACTAGCGGTGGGGTATCTGAAGCTGGCTCGTAACCCGAATTTTAGCTCTCAACTCAAAGCAAAAAATCGGCCGAGAGACAGCTCATATCTCGAAAAACTCGTTAGTCGGGACACTCGTAAGTCAAGACCCCACTGTAATAAACTGTTTAACCCTACAACTTAAAGAAAGAGAACAAGAAGAAAAGTCCAGAGTAAGTGGAAGGAAGGAAATAATCAAGATTAGAGCAAAAATAAATGACATAGAGACTAAAAACCAGTACAAAAGACCAATGAAACCAATAGCTGGTTCTTTGAAAAGATAAACAAGATTGATGAACC